ATCTCAAAAAAACAAAACAAAACAAAACAAAACAAAACAGCAAGATTATTCTTGAATAGAATGACTGTGGATGACCATTTTTTCTTTCCTTCTATTTTTTATTCCATTATCTTTTTATTTTTGTATTCTCTATAATTTTTTCATACCAGAGCAAGAATTACTTTTCTAACGGCTAAGAAAAGGAAATGTTATTAAACAAACATATCACTTTCCATTGTCTGGAGGGGAGGAGCTGCCACTGAAGGATAAGAACGGGTAAGAAATGCAGGGAATAAATAGTTTGTGATGGGAGGGCTTTTCAGCCTTCCAAGGCCTCTTGGAGGTTTCACAGGCTGTTCCTGCTGAGAGAATTCTCAAAGCTCAAAGCCATTGGGGTGGAGGCCCTGCTTCCCTCCATCTTAAGAAGGATGTGACTGGAGCAAGTTTCAGTTCTAACAGGATCGTCATGTCTTCAGAGGGAAAGAACGTTCTCAACCGTGAATCTTGTGCCAAGAAATGGTCCTGAGTGTTTTGAGGGGCAATACGGCTTCCCCTGCTGCTCACCCCAGCACCGTCACTTGGTATCAGTAGATTATTTCTCTCCAGAGGTTTGGGGCCCCCAAGCATAGGGCAACACTAGCTGCTGCTCCAGGGGGAAGGCAGGGAGGAGGCCAGAACTGAGTTAAGATGCCTAGGTATGCTGAGTTCTAGCTCTAGCTGAACTTCAATCATTGAGCGTTAGCCTTCTCATTTGAAGACAGGAGGACATCTTCCTTCTTGATATGGAATACCTTCCATGTTGACATGGAATTCTGAGTGTGACATAGTATTGTATGTGAAAATGCCCTGGAGAGCATGAAGTGGTGGACAGATGCTAATTCTGAATAAGAAGAGTATTGGTGGAATAGAGGAAAACATAGACTATCCTCAGTGAATTAAGTTTATGTTTCATGTACCTGCAGATTAAAAAACATGCATGGAGTTTCCTCCTTCTTAAAGGAGCTTTCTGTATGTTACACTCTCTGGTCCTCATTTGCCACATGTTATAGATGAGAAAACTGAGGCTAATGGAAGATAGACTGATCTGGTTTGCCCAAGATCACACAGCTATTAAGAGTAGGGCAGAAATGATCACTCCCATTTCTCTGGATGAGGAAACTGAGGCACAGAGAGATTAATTGATTTGTCTGAAGTTATACAGCCAGCAGGTATCAAAGTGAGACCGGAATCCAAGTCTTTTTTTTTTTTCTTTTGAGATGGAATTTCACTCTTGTTGCCCAGGCAGGAGTACAGTGGCATGATCTCAGCTCACTGCAACCTCCTCCTCCTGTGTTCAGGTGATTATCCTGACTCAGTCTCCTGGGATTGCAGGCGCCCATCCTCACGCCCAGCTAAACTTTTGTATTTTTAGTAGAGCCAGGGTTTCACCATGTTGGCCAGGCTGTTCTCGAACTCCTGACCTCAGGTAATCTGCCCACCTCAACCTCGGAAAGTGCTGGGATTATAGACATGAGCTACAGTGCTTGGACCCTTGAATCCAGGTCTTTTAATGTTACTAATTTAGAGTTCATGGACTCCTGAGGGGTTCTTAGAAAGACATCAGAAGGAAAGTTTGCATATGTGTACATTTTGGGGGGAGAGAGATTCCATATATTGAATCAACTTCTCAAATAAATGAATCAGAAATCTTGGACCTGTAATTGATGCGTAAGTAATTCTTTCTGTATTTAAACATTGATCATGCTACAAGAAAAGCTTTAGTGATGGCAAGTTACTCTGGTACTTCAAATGTGCTTAATTGTTACTGTGCTTCAGGGCTCCTAGCCAAAATAATGAATTTGCCTTTGATGCAGCTGACCAACTTGAATTTTTCTTTCTCCTGGCTTGGTAACCCTTCAATATCTATGAGATATCAAGATCAAAACTTTTTCTTCTGATACCACATTTTGTTTAATCTTCAACCTAGGTGCATACCCTGGAAGAAAAAAGACTATAATTTAACTCTTCAACAATCAGGATTGCCTGTCTCCAAACCCTTCTGAATCTAGTTATGTTGAATATTGGGAGAAAAGCATGTAGACTCTTGGGGGCCTGACCTTTCTAAGTTATCTCTGGGAGGGCTTCACCAAAGGGGCACAGAAGAATAATGTCTCTACAGCGTGGACCCAGGGTCTCCTCCCCACCAGGAACCCAGCTTAGCAGGCTGGGTTCATGTGGGACTTGCCAAAACCCCATGCAGGTGGTTGTGAGAAGACACCAAAGAACCACACGATTGTCCCTGCCTTTGTAAGGTCTCATTCCTTGTTATTTTTTTCATTCACTCAACAAACATTTATGGAGCACCCAGTATGTGCTACATTTTGAGGATAAAGTGATGAACAACATAAACAAGATCCCTGCCCTTGTGGAGTCTATATTCAAACCACAGCTTGACCTTAGGTTCCCAAACCGAGAGACTGACTCAACGAAGGGGCCATCTGGCCATTAACTGTTATATGCCCTCTGCTTGGGTGACACGGTCTCAGCCTCCCTCCCCCTTCAAGTCTGACAGGATAGAGACTTCAGAGTGGCCCAATCTAAAGTGAAAGTGAACAGAGCTCAAAATAAGCCCACAAGAGCTGAGGGAAGACCAAGGAGAAGATAGTGCAGTGAGGGCAGTGAGAGAGGGATTCCTAGAGGAATTCCACCTTGCTTTGAGTTTTGGCCCTAAACTACAAATCCTAGCCCACTTCTAAGTAGATGCTGATAGCTGGCTTCTAGTTGGCCTGCCATATTGAATGACTTTCTCTACTTAACATGGTGGAGATTTAGTTAACCCAGGGCAGAAAACCCTCTGGGAAAGAAAGTCTGAGCTACAACACTAGCTTTCTGAATGGACAAGATCTGAGGAACTGGGATGGCAGCAAGGGAGAAGGCAGCTGAATGGGGTTTCTTCTGGGAAACAATGTGGATGCAAGATGTGGTCCTTGTCCCTGGCCTGCCCTTAGCCCTTTAGTATTTCAGACAGGTCAACTCTTGCTCTGGCACCTGCTTTCTGTAACTCTGCAGCAAGCCAGCAGCCTCAAGTCCACCCCCTCCTCTTCCCAGGGCTCTGGGGTGAAGCCCTTCCCAGGAACTCCCTGGCTCCCTGTACCCATGGGAGAAGCTCTTTTCAACTGACATGATTTATTTTAACAATAAGGGGAAAACCACATCCGATTTCCACAGAATCAGAGTTTCTCCGACACGCCTGGACTTGTTAGCAGGGAAGGACACTCTCAACTCAGTATGCCATTTGCCATTCCGCTGTTCCTTTATGTGGAAGGAAGAGATGCCTGTTCCTGTAGGGAGGAAGTTTGAAGTGAGAGGAGGAGACAAAGATGCTGTGAATGGAAAGAGCTCTGGACTGAGAGTTCAGGGATGTGGCCTCCAGTCCCAGCTCTGCCACTACTCAGTTGTCTGGTTTTGGGAAAAACTCCTCTCTGGGCCTCAGCTGTTTCCTCATCTGTAAATGAGAAGGCTGGGCCAGATGCTCCTTCATGTCTGGTGTAGTGAAGGGCTGCCTATGACTGCACCCAGCTCTGCCACACCCCACCTAGGTGTCTTTGGGTGAGATACTTAGTAGCTCCAACTCCCATCTTCTTCATCCAAAACGTTGGGCACAAAAATAGCATTGACCTCACAGAATAGGTGTGAAGATGAAAAGAGATAGTGCATATAGTGCTTAACATGGACCCTGGGCAGGCAGTGTGCTCAGTACTTAGTAGCAATTAGTGTGAGCCTACTCTTTCAGTCTGTGAATTTTGTTAGAGGAACTACTGCTTACCAGGCCTCTGCTTTAATAAAACATGACTGGAGTGACTCCATCCTCAAGTGAGTAGCTAGGCCCTCACAAGGCACTATAGGGTTAATGCTTTATGATCTGAAAATAGCCACATTCTAAGCTGACCATGACTCATGGTTACAGAAGACTGATGGCCATACAAGACATCTCCCACCAAGCCTGCAGAATGTCCAGATGTCCCAAGTGCAGCCCACTTTACTCAGTGATAGTGTCAATGAGCAGACTTATATGAGCAGATAGCAACAATGAGAAGGTTGAAGGGTTAATGGTCACTAGAGCACCAACAGCCCCTACCTTTAGTGAGCACATCTGCACATTCCAAGTGTAATCATAGCTCCGTATAGTTTCTCACAAGCAGAGCCACTGCTGAAAGACAAGCTTTCTTCCTCCTGCTCTCTGGGCATGTCCTACTCTCTAATGGAGTAGTTTCCGATAAACCTGCTTCTTTCTCTGTGCTCCAATTTTCCCCAGTGTGAGACCTAAGAACCCACTCTTAAGGTCTAGATTGGGATCCTCTTTTCTGGCAATAGCTTGAGTGTGTGAACATGAGAAATGTTAGAAGTTGGAGTGGAAGGTATATAAACATTTGGACCCAATACCATTGTCTGGTTCTCCCAGAGACAGCCTTGTGTCTTCTCCCAAAGCTGATACCTCCCTGGGCCAATGTGGGTGACCCGTTGCCTAGAAAGAGGTGCTGTTATGATATATTTATGTTGGTGGGATCAGGGAAAGAAGTAACAGGTGTGTATGGAGTGTTATGAAGTAATTAAATCTTAACCTTCCCTTGAGGTAAGATGATGGAAACAACCAGAGCAGAGGAAAGACTGAATATCTTTTTATTCTCCTTATAGAAAATAACAATTAAAAAAGTATTATCATAGAAGAAGGAAACTTTTCTTCTTCTTAAATTAACTCCTGACAAAAAGTTGTTAGAAATTGGAGTGAAAGGTACATAAACATTTGGACCTAATACTGTTCTCTCGTTCTCCCTGACAAAAAGTTGTCAGGAGTTAATAAATAAAATGTTGGGTTTTTTTTTCCTGGATTTTATGATGTTTGTGGTATTTGTTAGCTTTCATGAATTTGTAATTTGTTGTAATTTCTCTTTATAAATAAACATTGAGTTTCGTCTCTAATTTTGAACTTCTATTTTTGAATTCAATTTTTTTCCCAGATGGGGTGTCACTGTGTTGCCCAGGCTGGAGCGCATCGGTGCAATTATAGCGGACTGCAGTCTTCAACTCCTGACCTCATGCAATCATCCCGCCTCAGCTTCCTGACTAAAGGTGCACATGGGACTACAGGTGTGTACTAACATGCCCAGCGTTCTTTTTTTTTTTTTTTTTTTCTAGAGATGTGGTCTCGCTTTGTTGCCCACACTGGTCTCCAACACTTGGCCTCAAGGGATCCTCCCACCTTGGCTTCCCAAAGTGCGGAGATTACAGGTGTGAGCCACTGCACCTACCCTGAATTCAGTTTCTTAAAAGGACCCTCCCCACTCAATTGTATGAGCTATAGCAGTTTCCAGATTTAGCAAATACAAATACGAGACATCCAGTTAACTTGGAATTTCAAGTAGATAAACACTGATATGTTTTCGTGTGAAATTCCAAGTTAAATGTGCATCTTGTATCCAGTGGGAATATAAAAAAAGAAAGCAGTGGTCAACTCAACCAGGGCTGAAATGGGGAGAAGGAGGAGAGTGGGGAGAGGAAAAGAGGAGGCGAGAAGCTTCACAAAGGAAGTCACACCAGAGCTCGGTCTTGAAACTTAGATTGCTGTTTGCAAGGTAGAAGAGCCAGGGGAGTTTACTAGGTAAGATGAGCCTGTGAGGTGTGGGAGCTCTGCAAGAGAGATGAGGCGGAAAATGTAGATAAGGTCCAGGCTCTGATGGGTCTGGATGCTGTGGGGAGCAGATTTTTCAAAGAAGAGGCCCCAGGGCGACATGCTGGGAGTTTTAGACTGGAGAGTTCCAAGACTGGGTTTGCATTTTAGAAAGTACACCTGCCTAGGGAAGAGTGGATTGTTCATGACAGGAATAGGGAGGCATCAGTTGGGCTCCTTCCATTACCTATCCCTCCATCCCATCTCCACTGAAGCTCTTTCATGACATTTGAGTCCCAGAGCCCATTGACATAAGACGTGTCACCCAGGATCTGAGGCTCTAGATGAACAGGCTTTGACTGAGAGCCCCGTGGGCAAAAAAGGAGGAAGAGAAGAAAGTCCAGGCTGAAGTGGCATAGGTGCCCAAGGTGGATTTGCATTTCCTTCCCCAGGAGCACAGGAGTGGCCAGTTTGGATTTCCTTAGGTCATCAGCTTCCCGGGTAATGACAAGTCAGAACAGCTTGCGTTGGGAGAGTTACATCACTTCTCCTGCTGAACGAGCTTGAGGCCCCTCACAAGTCCCTTTCCGCTTTACCGGATCCCAGAGTGAAAGGGCGGCATGTGGTTAGAAAGGACGCTGAGCCAGAGGCGAGGAGATGGAGGTTTGAAAGCAGTCATGCTGCTTCCCGCTGTACCAGGGAGGGCTGGTTCACTTCTCTATCTCTTCATTGCTGTAATGGGAACATTGAACAGGGTTCTTTCCGTTACATTTTCTGACCCTCATTTCCAAATATCACAACAAAGGAGAACCAAACCCAATGAGGAATAAAAGCGAGAAAAGAAAAGAAAAGAAGAAAAATGAGAAAGTTTTTTAGATTTAAATTCTTTTTCTCATCTTTGTTTTTTTTTTTATTTTCAAAGCTACACACAATTTCACACATATCGTTATGCTCGAGATATATTTACCAAGACACTTAAACATCTATATATTCTGTTTTAAAAATTTCTATTAGTTTCCCAAATAAAATACCCATCCATCATTATCAGTACAGTAATATTTCTTTCTTTTACAAATTTGTTCTCTGTCATACTTCTTGGTGTTTTATAGTCCTCATAATGATAGGTTCTTTCTCAAATCTAACCAAAATTACTCATATAGATCTAACGCATTTCATCGAAATCCTGCAATAGGGCCACACATTGCTCAACTCCATGGAACCTCATTCCCATAAAAGGCAATAGGCATGGTACCCTCTGGAATTATGCAATTTTTACATGCGCTCCAGGACTCAGTACTTAGGAATGGCCAGGATCCATGCTTTTATGGGAAGGAAATTGCCGGGGCATCACTATGAAAAATTCATGAAGTCGGAGTGCGTGTTGGGTAGGGACAAGGAATTGGAAGGCATGAGAGAGCTGTGTCCGGCACACATCAAACTCAGAGCATTCCACTCTGGTTTGCCAATTTTTCTGCTTCCCTATTTAACAAGTGGAAAATTGAGCTCTGATATCTCAATGGTGGGTCCATTGGTCCCAGAAGTCCCAGTTCTAAGATTAGATGCAACCTTATGTCTGGAGACCAGACACATAATTTAATTTCAATCCTGGGAAAGATGCTATTCTATCTCAATCTATATTCTTATCTTTGATATTAGGAGTCAGGCAGCAAAGCTTAAGATGAAGAGAATTTATTTCTCATTGTTCCCCCTTTTTCCTGATTTAGGAGCTCTAAAGGGGACTGTAACATTGATAACAAATGTCATCATTTTCAAATTGCTTATTATGTGCCAGGCACTGTGCTGAGGACTTACGTGTAATCACTTCACTTTCATGCTGTGCCTACATGGTGAATGTGCAGTAGACAGGATCTGTACCATTTTACAGATGATTAAACAGGCACTGAGATTCAGTGGCTTTCAGAAGGCATTCAATCTGACAGCCATAGAAAGCAGAGCCAGTCAACCCAGCTTCCAGTACCAGCGATTATGATACACTGCATGCTGGAAGTGGAGCTATAAACACATCACTATTTCTCTTTCCCTGCAAGCTTCCTGATATGATATATTTGCCCTGAAATGAAAGCTGGGTCAGAATATACAGTCTGAGCACAGGGGTGAATGTGGGGCGAGACTGAGCACGGATAGTGTTGCAATCCTCTCACATGTGCAGAGGGGCTCTGGGCCAGCCAGCTCAGGCCCTGCTGGGAAAACAGCACCCACCTCCCTCCATCCGACCCCTCTGGGGAAAACAGGGGTGAGGGTCAGGGGAGATTCCTGAGATCAAGAGCAGCTCTTTGCTCCCTTTCCAAAGGAGCAGAGATGTCCATTAACTCCTAACAAAGGCATCTTCTCCTTTTCCAGGTGCCTGGAAATATATAATAGAAATATGTAATATTTATTAAGGAGTACTTACTATGAAAAAGTCCATTAGCTCATTCAAATCCTCACAGTTTATTTTACCTATTTTATGGAGCTTTATAAAGGCTTTAAGTAGCTTGTCCGGTGTCTATAGACCTAATGCATTTCATCCAGACTCTGTGATAAGGCCACATATTGCTCAACTCCTTGAAGTTTTATTCCCATAGAAGGCAATAGGCATGGTATCCTCTCTGAGCCTGGCTGGCCACACCCTCATCTTATTTCCTTAATTGTTTTATTTCTTCTTTAATGTATAGATGATTAATCATTATTATGAAATGCCTCCTTCTTCTGGGTCTTGACATGCAGCTTCTGGAAAAAATAAACCCCCCATCTCCATGCAAATGAGAATATTTTGCAATTCCATGTCCATACAGAAAAATCCAAGTTAGATCACCTTCCTGAGAGCTGTGGCATGCTACTAAGAAGAGAAGGGGACAAGAGAGAAGAGAAGAGAAGAGAGAGCACGCCAGGATTTAAATCTAGAACTATATTGTGCAGCATTATAGTCTACCACTTCCCTCAACACTTACCATTTTATTATGTCCAAGATGCTGGACCACAAGACTTCAAGTCCTCAGGGTTTCTTTCCCTTGCACCTGTCCCATAAAAGGCCCCCATCCTTCCTGTCCCTTTTCCTTCTCTGCCATTACCCTGTTGCCCTCTCTGTCTCCCCAGTCTGGCTGCAGGGATTGTACCAGCCCGATGGGGTCTTATAATTGCACTTCATCCCCAGGTCACTTCATTTGGTTAAAAATAAGCTCCATTTATTCTGGGAGTCTGTGTTTGGGGATGTCAAAGGACAAAATTAGAATACATTTAGTTTAAAGATCTTAACTGGCTTTTATTTGCAATGCTAGAATCAGACAACCTCTCATTTTATAAAAATAGAATGAGTGGTCCCATGAGCTGACGGAGGAGTGTAGCTTTATAGGCTGGAGGAAGCAGAAACAGAACGAAAAGCACATTGGTCATTTTATAGTTACTTTCCTTGTAAAGGTTAGAGCAGAGGAGACTTCCTTATGTGCTGAATAAAACTGGCTTGTTTGAGGATTTGGCTATTTTCTTTCTCTCTCCTGATCTCTCAGAAGGTTAGATAAACAATTTAGTTTCAGCATGGTGGTGTGGAACTTCATTCAGCATGAACGACTCCACTTCGGTTTGGCTTATTGGCCTAGTGCAGTAACTCAGTCCAAACTAATCACCTCCTAGAAATTTTATTTAATGGGAAGAAACTGTTTATACCCTATCTTTTCATTGCCCCAAACCCTGATCCCTAGAGAACTTCATGGTAAAAGAGTTTATGTAAAAAGATAATTTAGACAGAGAGTCTTCTAGCTCAAGAGTAAGGATTTCAGGTCCTGGCTCTGCCACTGGCTGCTCTTAAACCTCTCTTCTTTCCAGTGTCATTTTCTTTCTCTCTCTGCATTAATCAAGAAAGAGAGAACCCTCCAGGGGACAAGATGAAGGGGAAAGAGATGATGTGTCAAGAAATCCTTGCTTTATGAGGGGGAAAAATGTTCCCCATGAAGTTCAACAAAACAGTGCAGGTAAAGCAGTTCGCTGGTGCTTGGCACACGGCAGACACTCACAGCTGCCTGAGGCATTGGAGCGCTGGATCATGCTGGAGCCAGAGGCACCTGCACAGCCTCCTGGGCTGGCTGCTGCAGGGTGTGGCTGCCTGAGAGTGCTTTCCTGAGTTGGCCTAAGTTAGGTCACTTTCCTGAGAGCTGTGGCACAGTTGGTAACGTGCCATAGCACTCAGGAAAGTGACCTAACTTAGATTTTTCTGCATGGACATAGAATTGCCAAAAAAGTCTCATTTGCATGGAGATAGGGAGTTTATTTTCCTAGAAGCTACATGTCAAGACCCAGAAGAAAGAGGCATTTCATAATAAGGATTAATCAGCTATATCCTAAAGAAGAAAGAAAACAATTAAGGAAATAAGATACTGAGAAAACAAGGGGAAAAACAATCTCCCCAAGGTGGATCCGCCCAGCAAACCTTGACAGCATTTCCTCTTATCCACCTGAATAAAACTGACCAGCCCTTTCCAAATGGCAGAGAACACTGAGAGGAGAACAGAGGAGCAGCCTGCAAACACCAAGCGAGAGGTGAGGCTCATGCTGCCCATCATCAGCGGCTCACATGTGCCGCCATCCTAGCCCTCTTCCTTCACGGCCGCAGGGAGGTGACCTGTTACCATTGTGTGTGGCTATGATGCTCCAGATGCTGGGCATTTGGTAGAATCTGACGGGGTACTCTATAGAGGAGGTGAATTTTCTGGGATCTTATTTTCAATGTGAAGAGATAGAGAGTGGGAAGGAAGGAAGGAAGAAAAGAAAGGTAAGGGATCTAATGTCTTTACTATTGCTTTTTTGTTCCAAGAACTGTGTTGGGCACTTTATGTGTTATCATTTTTTAATCTTCTGCAGTATGAAATATCTTTTTAAACATAGTGAGCACCACTGGTTCAGAAATGGGTTCCTGTCTGTCTGGTGTCAGGGAAGCCACCGGGATTGCAGGCTGTGATGCCAGAGGGAAGCACTGTTGTAAGCGGAGTAGCAGTAGAGAGAGCCAGCTCAGGGACTGGTCCGCCTTCCCTCAAGCCCTGGCTTGGGCAGGTTACTTTGCTTTCCTGGTAAAATGAGAATAGAAACAGAGCCCACCTTACAGGGTGGTTGTGAGCATTAAATGAGAAAATTATGTAAAATACTTGGCACAGTGCCCAGTGCACACGGCACATAGGTTAAATGTTACCTGCTACTAATATCTGAAACAGTCAAAATGTCTGGAATTGCCTCACCAAGCTAAGGGAGGTATCTTTCTCCTCTACAAAATGAGTGAGGCTCTTGGCCTGGGATGAGCAGGCAATATTCCACTGCTTCTGAGAGTTATCTTGTCAGAAGAAAACCCACACTCTCTTACTTGGCTTTCTAGAAGCACCCAGTAGCCTTTAGAGGGGACAGAACTCTGGAGACTCTCCACAAACTTCCCTGGCAATGGGGCCCATCCTTGTTTAGCCAGAAAGAAAGGCTGAAAAAAGAGGAAAGAAGCTCTTTGCCCTAATGCCTGCCATGTGGTGAGGTCTCAACATACACCTGTCTGTTCCCTGGGAATGATGCCAACTTAAGGAGAGACAAGGCAAAAATGGTTTCTGAACAGGATTTTGCTGTTTCCTGGCTTTCCAGAGAAGGAGATGAGAATCCTGAGGAAGGCGTGGGGAGTTGAGGCAGCTGGGGTTCACACTCACACGCGTGAGTTACAGCGACTCTAATGATAGCTCTGCAGTCCCCACAGCTGCCTCACTGTGTCTGATACCCTCCTCTCCACAGCCACACATGACACGCTTACCTTGGCACACACAGCTGGAAATGGGAGATCTCAGTGGGCACCATGCAGGATGCATGACAGAGGGCTGCTCTAGTCACATGTGTTGTCGTAAGACACGCATTAACACTAAGCTCTATTTGTAAGCTGGTGCAAATGTGGGGGAAAGCAGAGAGAACTCCATAAGCTGTACCATTACATTGTATGCACTTTTCTCTGTGTGCGTTCTATGGCACAATATAAAGTAGTTAAATAAAGAGGCAGCAAGAAAGGCAGAGGCAAGAAGGGTAAGAGAAAGAGAAGAGGTGCATCTCAGGGTCTGGCCCTGCCTGGGAAGCAGCTAGCTGCAAACATGCTCCTCATACCCTTTGGCTCAGCGGGTGATGGATGGGAAGTTTCCAAGGTGCCCTCTACCGTTGGCATCTTCCCCCAGCTCCTCACTGTGGCTGATTAGTTATAGAAGATGGCTTGCGCCTCCTTTCCCATCCTCTCTAGCCTTGCTGGCGTCAAACAAATGATTTTAAGCAGATACACTCTTGAGGTTTGTAGTAAAAGTGTGTCACTTATTTCAGGGGCAAACATCAAAAACCAAGTGCGCTTTTATGGTTTTTCACATCTGTTGCCCAGTTCCTAGGATATCTTACCAACCCTGCTTTTCCTATTTAATTTATTAAAAACAATGCTTTTCACCCCTGTTGACAAAGTAGGCTGTGTTGAGTCATAGGAGAGTTATATGCACACAAGTATGCTTCCTGGGACTTAAGAGACTGTTGTATCGTGCTTTCTGGGGTGGAGGTGGGGGAATGGGGGCATGTGAAAGAACCCATATCCATTTGATTCAAGAAGACCAGAGAAGGAGACACATACCTCTGAAACTCCTCAAGGCTGAAGTATTTAGTCTTGTTCTGCCTTTGAGATTGGAGGGGGCCATCAATCAAGGGTCTTCTCTTTCATTGCCCTCCACTTTTGACCGGACAGCTGATTTCCGCCCCTTTCTGCAGGCATGAAGTTACAGTGTGTTTCCCTTTGGCTCCTGGGTACAATGCTGATCTTGTGCTTCGTGGACAGCCGTAGTCTCAGGAAATGTCTGATTTCCACAGACATGCACCATGTAGAAGAGAGTTTCCAAGAAATCAAAAGAGCCATCGTGAGTATGAGTTGGGGTAAAGGTGTGGGTGATGGGGCCTGCCTCCCCTTGCATCTTAGCTTGAAAATGAGTTCCTTCTTATTACATTTTGCATCTCAGGAGAACATGGGATACCAATTGCTTATGTCTGTTCTTATGTTTCTCTCCACAGCAAGCTAAGGACATCTTCCCAAATGTCACTATCCTGTCCACATTGGAGACTCTGCAGAGCATTAAGGTATTGGCCTGTGTCTGCTTTTTCTAGTATTTTTATCTTCACATCTAAATGGCTCTGGGCTATCTTGTTCCCTTCTCTTTCCTACTTGCCAATGTGCTCTAAATGTACCAGGCTTCGTCTTTGTCAGCTGATGTGTTAGGGCATGCTAGTGTCCCAGGGACTTGTGACCCCTGGGAGGAATTAAAGAAGTGCCACTTCCTAGAGAGTGATTGGGGGTGTCAAGTGCTCAGAGGGGACAGGACTGGGTTAGGAGTAATTTTGGAAGATCCCATGAAGGTAGCTAAGAAAACAAACAGTGAATTAAAAGCCAAGGAGGTTGTAGGTTAGTGGATAAGAGGGAGGAAGGCATTTGGGCAGCATAAGAGAATAAGAGAACGGGTTTAAGATCAGTGAAGGTCAGACAGAGAGGTGAACCAGAGGACATATGAGTGAGTGGTGGGAGATGAGGTAAAAAAAATACCTGGGAATCATTTTATAAAGGTCCCTGGAGCCAGGCTGAGCCTCAGGCTTATAATACAGGCAATAGGCTGGGTGCAGTGGCTCATGTCTGTAATTTCAGCATTTTGGCAGGTTGAGGCAGGCAGGATTGCTTGAGCTCAGGAGCTTGAGACCAGCCTGGGCAACATAGCAAGACCTCATCACTACCAAAAAAAAAAAAAAAAAAAAAAAAAAAACCAAAAAACAAAATAAAAAAAATCAGCAGGGCATAGTGGCATGCAACTGTAGTCCCAGCCACTTGGGGGACTGAGACGGAAGAATTGCTTGAGCCTGGGAGGTGAAGGCTGCAGTGAGCCATGATCATGCCACTGCACGCCAGCCTGGGGGCCAGCCTGAGACACCCAAAAAGAATAAAAGAATATATGTTAGGGCACACTAGTGTCCCAGGGGCTTGGAATCCCTGGGAGGAATTAAAGAAGTGCCACTTCCTAGAGAGTGATTGGAGGTGCCAAGTGCTCAGAGGGGACAGGATTTCTGTGGCTTTGGGGTAATTTTGGAAGGTTCCATGGAGGTAGAAAATAATAATAGCAATAGAGAGTCACTGAGGTTTTTAAGCCCCAAGTTATATGATCATAAGTTGTTTTAGAAAGACAATCTGATGCTCTTCTTACAATGGACAACATGAGGCAGTCCGACCATCTAGACAGGAGGTGAGGAGAGTATATTACAAAACAGCTAGCTTACCAGGTGATCATTCATTTTACAAAAAGGGCCATGAGAGGAGCCTTTAAAAGTGAGCTCCTCCAGTTCTGGGAAGCATTCTAGAAAGATCCAGTTTTGGGGGTGTATTTTATATGACAGAGTGTAAGGTATATGTGTATTGAGTTACTTTTTTCTCAGGTTTCTCTGCAAGCGTGAGAGAGAGACATATACACACCCCTTCATAATTCTTCTAAGCAGGTGAAATCATTGTTCACCACAAATAAATCACTGCTTAGAAGAATTAGCCACTTAATAAATAATGTTCTAGCCACTGTAGACACATAAGATATGACAACTGGAAGGGAACCAAAAGACCATTTATTCCAAAACTATTCAACTGAGGACACTGAGACCTCGGGAGGGAGCATGACTAGTTAGTAGCAGAGCTAGGAATAGACCCTAAGTAAACGCCCCCACCTTCAGATTCTTTCTCCACTCAAGGTTGGCAAGTAGCCTACGTGGAATAAGAAAAGGAGTCAATAAGGATTCAGGTCTTTATCATATTCTCCCTTCTCCTCCCCTCCCCTCCCCTCCCCACTTCCCCTCCCTTCCCCTCCCCTCCTCCCCTCCCCTCCCCTCCCCTCCCCTCCCCTCCCCTCCTCCTCTCCCCCTCCTCTCCCCTTCCCTCCTCCCCTCCCCTCCCCTCTCCTCTCCTCTCCCCTGTTCTCGCTTCCTTTCCCCTTCCTTCTTCATTTTCCTTCCTCTCTCCTTCCCTCCCTTTCTCAGCCCCACCTTCGTTTTTTCAGCAGTGTTCCTTTTTTCTAGTACCACAGTCTTTGAGTGCAGAGGGGTGTAACATTTTGCACTTCTGGTTAAGGGAATCAGCAAGAATGAAGGAAGAGAAGGGTTTCTGTTTTGCCATCTAGGAAAAGCTGCCACTGGGGCCAAGGAGGCTTTGTTTCTTGAATACTAATGAAGACGAATGTGCTGTCCTAAACCACTCCCTGCTTAGACTGAACAGTTAATCTTCTGCAGAGTAATTTACTGGCTCTCAGGGCGGGTGGCTTCTAGTTGGCTAGAAGGAAACTGTAGCCAACTTCTCTGGGCTGTGCCTGGGAATTTAGAGACCATTTCTTTGGGACCACTACACTCTGCAGGCTGCAGACCTACCCAGGTATGCCCGTTTCTACAGCTGTCAGTTTCCCTTCTGGCAAATCTTAGCTTCATTCCAATGACCTTTTGGTTTTAAAAGGACAGACTGGAGGAGAGGCCAGCAGTGTGGCCCAGAGTAAGGTGGCCAGAATGAATGTAACATTGATTACCATTGGAGGAATGTGTGCCTACCGTAAGACTGGCATGCAGTAGCCCTTGCGTGTTATCAGACGGTAGACAAAACAGAGAGGCCAACTTCAGCACCTGTAATGTAAGGAAGTCCTTTCCAAGAAAGCTGCTCAGCTATCAGTCCTCTTAAAAAGGAGGCGACTGGTTCCTGGAAAGATTTAAGTGGAAGTTAGTGATGACACGCTAGGGATACTGTAGAGAGAATTAGTCCGTGACTGATTCTGGGCCCCATCCTTGGTAAATGTATTTCTTGGCCATACAAAAAAAGGGGCCAACTGAAATCTCTTCTCACCATCTTTGTCATAGTAGCTTTGATGGGAATAAGGGAGGATGAACACTGTGAGACCATTACGAATTTTTCCAAAATGACTTTTGATTCTCTCATGTGTTGCTGCCCCTACTCAAATGGACTGCCCTGGCCTCCACCATAATGAGAGAAGAGGTCTCTAGGAGTTTCTCTAATTTGTGTTTGTAGCCCTTAGATGTGTGCTGCGTGACCAAGAATCTCCTGGCATTCTATGTGGACAGGGTGTTCAAGGATCATCAAGAGCCACACCCCCAAATCTTGAGAAAAATCAGCAGCATTGCCAACTCTTTCCTCTACATGCAGAAAACCTTGCGGCAATGTGTGAGTCACTGGATCAGGATTCCAGCATCTGCTCCCCGTCTGCCCCAGGAGAGGCCAGGAAATGCTGGCCCCCATTGACCTCCAGATATGGTGCCTGGAGTCAAAGGAAATTCTCTGCCCACGTCCACAGGGAGAACTGTTGAGAACCTCCCCCAGTGCCCACTGCTGCCCCAGGGCTCCCTGACCGCTGACAACTCCACAGAGGGTCTCCTCCTACATGGGGCGACCAACTTAGGTCAGCATATTCCCAGTAAGAGGCATGCCAAGGACTCCAGTTCTACCATAAGCATACCCCTGGTTTCTCCATTTCTGGCCCTTTGGGGTCTCTATCTCAATAAACCTCTGGGTAGTTCCTTGGTATGACCTATCCCTAAAGGTCACCAGGAAATTCATTGCAATATGTTCAAATCCAACATCGAAACAAAACCAAAGGAAACCAACAAAAACTTAGACCAGGAGAGAACCTGGGTTCTAGCCCCATTCCCGCTAACAATTTCCTGTGAGACTTTGTGGCAAGGGACTTCACCTCTCTGTGCCTCAGATTCTAAAATTGTTAGAAGGGATGACGACTCCTGTCCTACTTGCATTCATATGATAATGAACTCAAATGAATTCACCTAACCAGTTACTTAACTAATAATTGGTTAAAATGTTTATTGAGTGCCTCCCTGTGGGATGCTGCGCTCAGAGCAGTGATGAGACAGACATGGTGCCTGGCTTCCATGTGTGTTCCGTGTGTGGCTCCTATATGCCAGACTGTGCTGACAGTCTGATGGGCTCTGAATGCCGAAAATCAAAAGCTGTGGGCGAATGTAGGTGACTCTATAGATGAGCTCTATTCTCCTGTGGCTGCTCCCATCTGAGTTTACTCACCTGACTTCACTGTGAGTGGAAAGAGCAATGTCACTCCTCATGCTGGGAGGTAGGAGTAAGAGAGGGTCAGGGTTGAAATGTCCTCTGATAGGAGCTTCCTCCGCTTTATCACAGCAGGAACAGAGGCAGTGTCACTGCAGGCAGGAAGCCACAAATGTCACCAGAGTCATCCATGACAACTATGATCAGGTAAGATCTGGGTATCAAGGTTGGGAAGATGGAAGATGAGAGGCAGAGCAGGAGGGCACCAACCCTTCAGCCTCCTCTCCACTCAAATTCATGCGTTCACTCTATAAGCAGTCATGTGGGCGGGCCTCAATTCTCTGTGTCTGTAAAGAGAGTTTTGATCTTACCTCATTTACGAATCCCCTGGGCTCCACATCTCCATCATTCTTCCATCATTTTCTCATACTGTCATATGCTAAGCCTGACCTGTATGATTCTGGGGAAAGCACCCACTGCTTAGAATGGGATGACACAGAGAGAACAGGGATCCCCCATGAATTGTGAGCCGTTACTCATGGGACACGTTACCTGCATGCAAAAACTATGTGCCCTCCCATATTCTGTGCAGTGATGAAGATATGGTCTTCTCATGTTAATGTTAGTGTAAAATGCACATCTCATGTGGATGTAGAGGGAGAAGCAGTGCTTCTCATGAGCATCAGTAGAAGATATTGTTAAAATGCAGATTCTGGCCAGGTGTTGTGGCACACGCCTGTAACCCTAGCACTTTGGGAGGCCGAGGTGGGTGGATTGCGAGGTCAAGAGATCAAGACCATCCCAACCAACACGGTGAAACCCTGTCTCTACTGAACATACAAAAAATAGTTGAGTGTGGTAGTGTGTTCCTGTAGTCCCAGCTACTTGGGAGGCTGAGGTGGGAGAATCGCTTGAACCCTGGGGAGGGGGGCGGAAGTTGCAGTGAGCTGAGATTGGGCCACTGCACTCCAGGCTGGTGACAGAGCAAGATTCTGTCTAAAAAAAAGCAGATTCTGGTTCAGTAGGGCTGGGGTGAACCTGAGTTTCTGCATTTAGATCACACTGTCAAATGCCAATGCTTTGAACAGCAAAGAGGTAGGGAATCTGTTATGGACTCTGTTTCTTTGTGGAGTAGCTCTGTAGTATAATGTTATAGAAATAGCTAAGAGTTTCACGATTTTACTGTAAGTCAGGTATTCTTCTAGGCACACAAGTATTCACACACATTTGTCCTTCGCAACAATGCTATGAGTCACTATCTGCGTTGGATACATTAAGAAACTGAGGCTCGAGCGGGGGAAGTAACTAAGTCCGCACTACAACTGCATGGCAGAGGCGGGATTCAATCCCACGCTGGCTGGCTCTACAGGACATGCGAAAGGCATGAACTCAGTCTGCTGAGGAAGGAGAGGGAATAGGCAGGAGACTTGGGTTCCAGTTTCAGCTCTGTTACCAGCTGGCTGTGTGACATTGGGTAGGACACTAATCCATAGGGGATTTAGTGCCCTGACATGTCACATGGGGACACCGTGCTCTCCCGACCCACTGTCCAGCACCTCAGGGAGGAAGATGTTCTGGGATACAGAAACACTAAAGCAAGCTGATGTGGAGAAGAAAATCAGCAGAAGAACTGGCCAGTAAGGCAGGTTTTTTGTTTCCCATGATAAACAGAGAGAGGGGAAAATAAGGGAAAAAGTGAAGAATTTTAAAGTTCTATTTATAAGGAGCTGACATGATTTAACTGCTTGTTTGTGGGGAAAAAAAACTGATTGCCTGTGAGGAAAATAATTTTGAGTCTGTATGTTATGCAGATATATTTTGTGACTTACAAACAAACAAACAAACAAACAAACAAACAAAAAAACCTCGTAGGGACCAGCATATGAAGAAAGTGACTTGAAAACCATTACACAGTCTAGAAAGGTGGATTCTTACAATGATCTCTGATTTCAGCTGGAGGCCCGCTCTGCTGCCATTAAGTCTCTGGGAGAGCTCGATGTCTTTCTAGCCTGGATTGATAAGAATCATGAAGTAACATCCTCAGCTTGATGACAAGGAGCCTGTGTAGTGATCCAGGGATGAACATCCCCTATGCGGTTTGCTGTGGGAGACAGCCCACCTTGAAGGGGAAGGAGATGGGGAAGGCACCTATGTTTATCCAAATGAGAAATCTCCCTGCGAATTTGGAATTCTCTTCTCTGGGGTTGGGGAGAACCTGGGTTTGGGCCGATCTCGCCGTCTAGCTGAAAGTCCCATCTGCTGGCCTCAGGCTGTCTGATCCCACTTGAAAATATTCAAAAAGTCTACTGTGGTATTTATAATAAACTCTGTCTGCTGAAAGGGCCTGCAGGCCATCCCGGGAGAAAGGACTGCCCCCTCTCTAATTTATTGTGAAGTCATATAGTCCATGTCTGTGATGTGAGCCGAGTGATATCTTGTAGTACACATTGTACTGACTGTTTTTTCTGAATAAAGTCCATATTTTACCTATGAGTGGAAGCGTCTTTACATTCAAGGATAGTCAGTCAAGGAATCAGAAATGGAGATGATTAGAAATGAAAAGGGCCTTAAAGAACAGCAGGGAAGGTGAGTCCTAGAGGAGGATAAGCGTATACCCAGGGCCTCAAAGCAAGTTAATGCGGAAAAGGGTTCCAACTGGTGCCTCTAAATTCTCCGGCCAGCACCCTTTCCTCCACATAAAGATCTGGAAGACAGGATGGATGCCTCTCTCACTGACTTCCCCACATCCCTCCATTTCTTTTTTTTTTTCTTTTTTTCTTTTTTCAGGCAGAGTCTAGCTCTGTCATCCAGGCTGGAGTACAGTGGCATGATCTTGGCTCACAGCAGCCTCCACCTCATGGGTTCAAGTGAATTCTCCTGCCTCCGCTTCCCAAGTAGCTGGGATTACAGGCTTGCACCACCATGTCTCGCTGTTTTTTTGTATTTTTGGTAGCAATGGGGTTTCACCATGTTGGCCAGGCTGGTCTTGAACTCCTGATCTCAAATCATCTGCCTGCCTCAGCCTCTCAAAGTGCTTGGATTACAGGCGTGAGCCACCATGGCCGGCCTCTGTTATTTCTTTCTTACTACTCTCAACCTAAATCCATCTTCCCTGACCCCAACCCATCCTCCAGGGGTGAATGCATTGGGCTGCGTGCGGAAAGGATGTTCCTGACAGAGGGATGGTTGTCAGGTGACAAAGCTGAACAAGAAGTACAAGTAAGTAGAGAGGCTATGGGTAGAGGCCAAAAAGGGCACCAACATCTAGATGGACACTGCATAGATGATTCAGAGCACAAATGTGCGCCTTTAATAACAACAGTAACAAGTGACATTTACTGGGCATCTGCCATGTGCCAGGTCCTGAGATAATTACTTTACATGCACTATCTGGGGTCAGTATTCATACTGTCACTGGATGGCTGAAGCAAGCTTTTTATTATTATTATTATTATTATTATTATTCCTGAGAAATAGGTTTCATACCACATGCTTTAACGGAAAGAACAGACCTCTGAAGTCCAGCCAGCCTGGTTCTAGTCCTACGTGACTTTGAACAAAATACTTAACGTTTCTAAGTCTCAGTGTCCTCTACTGTAAAGTGGAGATATTAACATCAGTCTTGATGTGTTGCTGTGAGCATTGAGTGAGGTAAAACGTCTCTCATTACCTCAGCAGGGTGGGAGACAGCATGGCGCAATGTAAAGACTGCCGATTCAGGGGCCACGTTCTGGTTGTAAGGCTTAATCTGCCAGGAACTGCCCAGGGCAGGTCAGTACTTTGGTTTCTTTGGTCCTTAGTTGTTGGTAGTGTGGACACTGACCCTTCTCTTCTACCTGCTCTATATGAGTGTTTATTTATTTTTGGAGATTGGGTCTCACTCTGTCACCCTGGTTGGAGCACACTGGCATGATCATAGCTCACTTCAGTCTAAAACTCCTGGGCTCAATCAGTCTTCTTGGCTTCCCAAAGTGCTGGGATTACAGGCATGAGCCACCACACTTGGCCTCTATATGATCATTTAAAAGCTGGAGTCATTACGAGAGTTTTGATAGCCCTAATATCTGACACACACCCCTCCTGGCTCTGTTTCCCTCCTGCTCCTTCCCCAGACTCACTCTGACCCAGGCACACTGGTGTGCTCCGTGTTTCTCAAACATACCAGGCGTGTTCTCACCATACAGCCTTTGCACTTTGCATACATGCACACTCATAAACTGAGGTAGGGTTAAAAAATAAAACAAGCCCACCACACATTATGCGTTAATGGGGTTCATAGGCTATTAGGAAGCAAGGTTGTTTGCTGAGGGCTCAACCTTTCCAAAGTGATTTTGGACAGGCACCCACCCTTAGCAGGCTGGGTGATGGCAGGATGATGGCATTTACAGCATTTTTGATCTTTCATCACTGCCCTGGGATGTGCTTCCCCCGGACACCTGCATGGCTTGCACCTCCATGTCTTTCAGACCTTTACTTCAAAGGTCTCCTATTGGAGGATAGACCCCCATTTCCACCTTCAGCACACGCTGTACCCCTTTCCTGTTTATCTAGCATCCTATTTTGTTTATTAGCTGTTTCTTCACTGGAATGTAAGCCTCATGAGTGTAGGGATGATTTGGTTTGTTCACTGCCTGACACTTAACAGGTGTTAAATTCACAATTCACCCAGATTATTTATTCAAGAAATGTGAACAACAATAAACATATGTATAGTGCTTCCTATACACCAGCTGATAGTCTAAGAAATATACTTCATGTAATATAACATAAACATATATACATTTTCATTCTCACCATGACCCTATTTTAGGGTTTTTAGAATGAAGTAAAATGAAAAAGGCCACCTCATTGGTTGTTAGCCGTATAGATAATTAAACCCTAAGAAGGAAACCAGGCACAGAGAGGTTAAGTAACTTACCCTAGGCCACACATTGCATCAATAGAAGAGTTGAACTTCCAATCCAGGCAGAACATTCCAGAATGAACTATAATGTCCACAACAATGTCCACCTGTTGAGTTCATCATGTGCCAGGGACCAAGCTGTGGCTCCTCCTTTACTCCTCATGATAGTTCTCTAAGGTAAGATTATAAAGTGAAGAAGATTAGTGAGGTTCGACAATACACCTAAGGCCATGCCTCTAGTTGTGGAACTGAGATTCACACTCAGGGTGTCCTACTCCAAAGCCTGAACTCTCCATGATGGTGGTTTGTGGCTTGTGTGTCTTGCCTATGTCACAAGAAGCCCACAAAAGCCCACCAGTAAAGAAAGTGCTTTACTGGCATAATAATCTGCATCTGCAGGAAATATTGTTATTATCAATGATGGTAGAAGTACAGTAGGAGAGAAGGAGAAGGAGAAAGAGAATTGAAGAGCTCGCCGTCTCCGAAATGGCTGGCATCTTGCCTGAAACTCTCCTAGGTCTCCTGCCTGCTTCCTTTCCTCATCTATCTGTCCTTTCTCTTTCTTCAGACTTGAAGAATGTGGCCCACTGCTTTTTGAGTTCACAGTAGGTCTGACATAGTGTTGTGTGTGTGTGTGTGTGTGTGTGTGTGTGTGTGTGTGTGTGTGTATGTTTTCTTCACAGAGCTGGTGCTTGAGAAATACATTCTAAGAAACCAAAAGTAACGGTTGTCTCCCAAACCATACTGAGCCCTCTGTCAGCCCCTAGTAGATACCCTTACAAAATCTAGAGCTCACTTCCACTGCTAAGGAGTAAGGGGAGGGAACCCATGTCACACTCTGGGGCCATGACAGGCACTTTACACATAGGACCTCATTCAAGCCACAGAGGAAGCCAAGGAGGCTGGAGTTCTTATCCCCACAGGGTCAGTGAAGGCATCTTAGGCTCAGGGAGGTGGGGGAGCTTGCCCAAGTCCACATAGCTATGGGATGGCAGAACCAGAAAATGAATCCAGGCCCTATCTTCCTAGCTTTGGTGCCCTCTCCTCTTGCTGCTGTGGGAGTTCATTTTATCCTGGACAAGACTCTATAACCTGGGGCCCAGCTTACTAAGGTGAATGCCATCAATGCAGATAATTAAGCCCAGATGCACAAAAAAGGGTTTGGACTAGTTACCCACAAGCCTCTGAAGTTACATAGAAATGTACAGACCAACACAGAGCAAAGGAGCAGAGGCCAACTTTTGAGTGTGTCACGCAATGTTCCTGGACCAGCTGAAGCCTGGGCTCCTCCTGGGAATGCTCTATCCTCCTTGCATCTTCCAGAGCAAGTTGTTGACAGCCACACATGCTCATACTGCTGAAACTCCATACTGCTTATATTACTTATACAGCTCATACTGCCGAAACTTCATACTGCTGAAACAGGCACTGAAGAGGTAAGAAACACAGTCTTGAATCACTGATATCACCCCTCCCCCACCCCCAGCAGTGGCAGTGTAGTGCAGAGAGCACTTTTGTGTGCTGGGGAGAGGGAGAGTGCAGCAATTGTGAGATGTTGAAATCAGTGCTGTCCTTGTTATAGGAGAAAGCAAAACTGGAACACATTCAGCTGATGTAAGTACTCTGTCCTTCGTCTGTCACAGTACTCATCAGTGTAGGACTCTTCCCTTGACTCTATGCAGACTCCTGCTTTGTTTAGCACTGATTGTCATGCCAAGAACAACCACCCCTGGCACATAAGATGCACTCAATACTCAGCAGTCATAAGCAATGTCTGACTAAGGGTGACAGGACAAAGCAATTATTCCTGGAGGTAGGTCCACAGCAGGGGACAGAATATCACATTTGGCCAAGGTCTTTGGGAGAAGATAAAGTATTAAAAATTGCTATAGGCTCAAGTTACATGTTTTTGTTTGTTTGTTTGTGTTTGTTTCTTAAGTATTAAGTGAGATAAGGCATTCTAAAGATAGAGTACTCTCTCTCTCTCTCTCCCTTTTTTTTTCTCTCTCTCTCGATGGAGTCTCACTCTGTCACCCAGGCTGGGGTGCAGTGGTATGATCTTGGCTCACTGCAACCGCCACCTCCGAGTTCAGGTGATTCTCCTGCCTCAACCTCCCATGTAGTTGGAACTATAGGCATGTGCCAC